TTTCACAGAAGGTTTTTTGGTATAATTTTTTTTATTAAAACGTTTTTGATAAAAAATGTCAATAATTTTTCATCGACGTATCTTGATAAAGTACTATTGACAAATACAACCATGCATCGATTTTTTGTTATATAATATCGATTCATACACATACTGATACACTTAATATCTATATTTTGGTAAAATATAAATGATGTTTTCTTATACTTCGACATTAACAGTTTAACTTATGATTTATCCTTCCTGAAGGTGGGATAATAGGTCATCTCAAAAAAACCACAACCAATTTTTATCCAATAGTTGTGGATAAAAAATGGTTGTGGTTTTTTTTGAGATGACCTAGTATACCACCTACAAGAAGGAAAAATCATAAGTTAAAATATTAATATTACGTCAACAGTGATAACTAATTGATACATTCTCAATTTCTAATAAAAATATTGATAATTATCGACAGAAACAGTTATATACATTTGCAAAACGGAGAAGGTCGGGAATACAGTTTTGTAAGACGCCTAGGTCACGAGTGTTTAGCCTAACTTGGGCGCCGTGAAACTTGGTCAGAGAAATCATTAAACTTTATCATGACTATCCAGAGTGAAAAAGTTAGTCATTTTACGCTAACAATATTAAAAAATAAACTAAACTTACACAAATTTTCCTTTGATTTTGACCATTATTTTAATTAGATTTAGGTAAGATTCCTTGCTGTGTTGTTACTAATGAGGGGGTCTTGAAGTAAATTTTAAATTTTAGTTAATTTTTTAAATGTGTATGCTAGATCGTGGTCTATCCACGCTGGAAAAACTTTGTAGACAGATTAGGAGTGTAAGGCGAATGTGGGGAAGTGTACCACTATTTCTACAAGAATCTGGCCATGTTTCCAAGAATATTTTCCTTATGATGGAATTTGATTGAAAGAATCGATGTTTTGATGGATATGACATAGATATGTCTATTAATCGGTGTTTTTAAGTACAAGCCGCTTTAGAAATCCCTTGTTCTCCAGGTTTTCAGATTCTTTTATCTAAGATAGTACAGTCAATTTTGAAACTGGTTAATTTATGCTATGACCTATGGCCATTTTGTATTCGTTTAAGATAGCGATTTTTCGGGCTTCTGTAGTCTTTAATTTTATATTCTTTTGGTGTAAGGTGCAACCACATTTATACTTACCAAATTATATGCGGTTTTTGGAAATAAAAAATTTGTGCCATTGACGGGATTTGAACCACTTCCTTGACTTCGAGAACACATTCCAATCGATTTCCTATTTTAATACAAATTTATATTGTACTATTTTAAGTATTAGTTTAAAGGACAATTTTTGTAAAATTAACGATAGAATGAATGTACAATTGATAAAAACTTTTTGTGTTTTTTCTCTCTGGTTTTGTGGTACAAGTGGACCTTTAAGCTCAGACACAGAGCGGTTTGATGTCGAAGGAAAAGTTTTTATTATTTCTTTGGGGAAAATTCATGTTACGTACAATTGGCCAGCTCCTGTTAAAGAAGATTAAAAATAAAAAAGAAGAAAATATTTTCATTTTTCTTATAGAAATATCACGAGGTTAGGAAAGTTTCTTTGTTTACATAAAGCATAGAGGAAATGAAACTAGCGTACAAGAAGGAATGCAGTCGATTTTAACGCAAGTTTTCTTCATTTAAAAAAAGGGTCAGGTTGATTGAATCATAAGACGAACAGGATTACCAAGGAACGTTGAAAGAGCTCTATATAGAATACAATAAAGGAGAGTTTCCACCGCCCCAACCGGCGACCCCGTGGTAAGGGCGGGAAGCGGGGAATTAATACAGTTTTCTGCAGAGGGAGAAAAGGTGGAACTGTTAATGAAAAACTTCGAGGTCTCATGTATATGCAAGGGACGTACGGCGGTTTCTCCCTTCTCGACAACTTTTTCCTCTCCGCCCCCGCACGCTTACACCCCCGGAGAGGGTGGCTCGCGTCCCCCGACCACTTGCAAACGCCGTGAATCAACCCCCCCCCCTCACGGCGTTAAACGGAAGCCTGTTGCTCCCGTTATACGGATTTCCGACGGCGAAGATGACATTAATATTTCAGAAAAAAGGGAGACAGAGAAAGAATTGAACATCTTCGACTTTTACATCATAAAATTCTGGAAATTCTATAGATGTTATTCGTAAACAACAAACATCAGTGTTTTCTAATTACAGAATAACACAGTTTATCTCTAATTTTATGCTAATATGCATACTTTAAATCAACTATAATATACTCTCTTTTATAACAAAATCTTGCTACACAAAATCAAGCGCATTTTTTTTTTTAACACAACATCTTCAATTGAACATAAACTCATCAGAAACTGGTTTTATTAACTTTAAATAAACGTCAGAAACACGGGAAACGTCTGTTTTACCCCTTAAAGCAAAAAACGTCCGGAACAAACGTTCAACTCTATAACTTGTTAAAACTAATAAACCGTTCGTTCTTTTTGCGCTGGAAGGAACACAAATGTATTAAAATTTTAGTCGTTTGATGTTATATAAACAAACTTTATCCTATCTAAAATTGTTCCAATAAAAATATATTTCGTCCTATCATTGAACTATTTTCAGTATTAAATTCACTAGTTTTCGTGTTCCGCTTGATCATTCATTCAATTAATTAAGGTTTTAAGTTTTTTTTTTTTAATTCAAAAGGTGGGGTTGAGATGGGAAGTTAGTGTCCGAGTGGATCGAAGTCACGATAGCTCAAGTGGTAGATCAGCAGCGTATCTAGCCGAAGCTTGTGGGTTCGAATCCCGCTCATGACACTGACTTTTTTATCTCAACTAAAAACCTTAATTACTTGAAAGATATTTTCAGTATATTTTTAATATGATAGCCAGCTTGGAGAATTTATCTTTTTTATCACCATTTATTCACATAGCACCATACAATGTAAAATTTTATTCTATATATTTTATAAGTAAGGTAATTTTTAATCATTTATCTGGCGATAATAGGTCGAAATACTTTAGACACCTGCCTGAGAATTCATGACAAATAGGCACTGAAAAAACACCATTTATATGTCGGTGATAGAGAAGAAACCCAATGATTAATGTTTTAATGTTTACGTTATCTACTTATCACATTTTTGTAAAGTTGATTAATTATTATTATTATAAAGTTATTAATTCCTGAAAGGCAAACACATTGTGTCGACTTGGACGCTCCCCACTGGTTAAAGAATCTAAATTAACCGCGGAGGTACAGTTTTTAGAAAGACCATGGAGTGCGCTCTATATTTTTGCGGGGGCAGAAGCAATAAGAACCTCCAGTATGTAACAGTAACATTTTAAGCGTGCAAGTGGGGAGTGCATCCGTGCTTTGATCTTTTACTAAATAAAATTATAATTGTTAACTAGTCGTGTTTGTTATTATGTCCGACTTTGAAGAGGGCCAGATCTCTGAGGATGAGTGGGATCATAGCCCAACAGATGAATTCCCGACACATATATATATATATANTGTATACATATATATGTGTATACGTATATATATGTTTAACAGAATCCAGTATATTAAGCTACAATAAAGAAATAAAACGCAAGGTTGTTTTGAATTTGATATAATGTATACACCCACAGTATGTAAATATATATATACATATATATACACACACATATATACATATACAGTATATATATATATATACATATATATGTGTATATGTATATATGTGTGTATATACACACACATATATGTGTGTATATATATATATATATATATACACACACACATATATACATATACAGTATATATATATATATACATATATATGTGTATATGTATATATGTGTGTATATACACACATATATGTGTGTATATACACACACATATATGTGTGTATACATTATATCAAATTCAAAACAACCTTGCGTTTTATTTCTTTATTGTAGCTTAATATGCTGGATTCTGATAAACATTCAAAAATTAACCGAAACCAAAATAACCTTGGAGTAAAGTAGGGGAAATAAAATTAATTTGAAAAATATCAATTGGTATTGGCTTTAAGCCCCATGAAATACCATTTACTACAAATTCACTAGTTTTCGTGGTCCGCATGACAAATTAATATCATTCAATTAATTAAGGTTTATAGTTGAGATAAAAAATCAGTGTCACGAGCGGGATTCGAACCCACGACCTTCAGCTTGATACGCCGCTACTCTACCACTTGAGCTATCGTGACTTCGATCCCGTCGGGCACCAACTTCCGTAACTCGCTAACTTGAATCCTTTTTGCCATTTTTCAAATGTCATGTAATCTGATTGGAATCACGGCGACAAATGGCAAAAAGAAGGGAAAATTCAAAAGGTGGGGTTGAGATGGGAAGTTAGTGTCCGAGTGGATCGAACTCACGATAGCTCAAGTGGTAGAGTAGCGGCATATCAAGCCGAAGGTCGTGGGTTCGAATCCCGCTCGTGCCATTGACTTTTTTATCTCAACTAAAAACCTTAATTAATTAACTACAAATTTCAATCGAAAATTAAAAATATATATTTTTGCTCTTTATTACAGCTGTTATTGTTTGTGCCTCTTGGTGTCCGATATTCCACTTAAAAATCTATACCTTCTTGGAATTTTACCCAGACACAGTTATGAAAATTATTAGAAAGCGGAATTGTTCGTCTTTCAACCTATGTCAACTAAGTTTAGATGTATATTCATTGTAACTGAGAAACATAATGAAATAAATAAAAACGCCGCAAACATTTTAATTTATATATCAAGTTTTACTGTATTTATTGAGGCTAAAGTATCATTATCATGGAAAAAGGTTTGTTCCGTTTTTTACAGCCTCTCCTTGAAAGTAAATGTTCAGCAAAATAAAGGAACCGATTCTAGAAAAATTTATTGACATATTTTGTTGGTGATGTTTTTCATGTTATCACATGATTTCTCCTCGAGGCAAAAGCTCCATAACGTTCGTCCACGGGCGCGTAGTAAACAATATGAAAAATCAACTCACCATGCTGACCGTTGGTGATCACGGCCAGCCAGCAGAAAGCGACCAAACGGAGAGTGCCAAGGATCGTGAGCATCTCTTCCTAGAAGGAAAACAGTTAAGAGAGTTTCGTACCATACCAGATCATACCCTCAGTCGCCGCGCAGGCCCCAGGAGAGACGCTCCGGGGAACTTGTCAAAACGATATTTTTTGGGGGGGAGGAAAAAAGGAAAAAGGGGGCCGGGAACTGTCGGGTAGTGTTGAAGATCTCGCCCGAAGACACCTGGAGAATTATTAAGAATTAGTATAAAACATTTTTGTCCTTTTAATTCAAAACCGTACATTTAAAGAGATAATTTATTGAGAAAAAAACCACTTAACTTCCTACTATATGTAAAATTCTGGGACTTCTAGTCATTTATACTCAAACATACAATAAACAGATCAATTCACTCAATCATTATGTTCCATCACATCATAACACAAACCGAACAACATAAACTGTTACTAACTCTCACTAAACTGTACATTCACGCTAATATATAAAATGCTCAAAGGAGAGCGTGTTCGAATACATAGAAAGCCACTGCCTCCATGATACAAAGACAAAACCTGAAAATTTAAAATTCTGATCGGCAGTACCAGCAAGACTAGGCAGATCCGGCTAATAAATATATTAAATGATTCTAGCATGAAGTAACATACAGTATTAAATTATAACCAACATAAATTGAAAAAAATGACATTTTTACGTAGAACATGTGTCGATATTAAAGTCACCAGTGGCGTAATCACGATGGCTGATCTGAAGAACAGCTCGAACATTACGAACTAGACAGAATATCCGATTTTAGGGTTGAAAAACGATTTACTGGATTAATTTAAACTTTTCCTTAGGTTTTTCTAACTCGTGCAATGATTCAACCTGTTCGGAAAATAGATTATATAATTCCTGAGAAACCGAACGAGTTTTTAATTATACTTTTTTTAGGTGATTATTTGTTCCGTAAAGGTGTAAAGGGTGCTGGAAGGAATCGTTTCAAACGCACAGAACAGGCGGCTGTTTACCATCTAAACACATAAAGAACGGAAAACAAGATGAAAATCGGGATCACGTGATTTGAACCATCATGCCATTATGAGGTATGATCCGCACGCTCGGCGCCGATAAAACGATCCGGATTTTTGATTGAGAGCAGTCGAATTTGATCCTCTTATAAAAGATATCGAGGAAGGGTTAAATTTTAACCGAATAATCTTGGTGTTAAAAGACAAACAGAAATTTTTAAAAATAAATTTTGGAAGTTTTATACTTACGATTTATAATATCATGGGCAAAAATTGAAAAGAAAACACTGGGCTTTAGAGTACAAAAATTTTTAGAAAAATTTTCAATGAGAGATGTGAAATATTGCTTTAAAAATGGTTTTCCATATTTTTCATAAAGTCGAACGAACTCCAGGAAAAGAAAAAAAAGCTTAAGTTTAAAAAATTGCATTAATTTAAACTAGAGGTGCTGCTGACAAAATATTTTTCGAGAATTCTTATAGGTTGAATAGTTTTCAAGCGAAAACTAGTAAATTGACACCCTGTAAAGTTTTAAAGTCTTAATTGACGATTTTCCCATCAAATAAACGATTTTATAATTTTGATGTATCTCTTTTTAATTTGAAATAAACCTCTATTGATGTCAAAATAACCCATTGTAATATCAAATTAACTCTTTTTAAATATAAATTAAATTTCAAAGTATTCCTGTTTAATTTCAAATTAACCCTTTTTAACTTCAAACAAACCCTTTCATTTCAAAAAATCATTTTTTTACTTTAAACTAACGCATATTATTTTCAATATAATCCTTCTGAACTTCAAACTAACCAATTTTAATTTCAAATTAACTCATTTTAATTCCAAACTAACTCGTTAATTGTAAATTAATCCTTTTTAAATGTAACTTAAATTTCAACCTAACCCATTCTAATTTCAAATTAAATTTTTCTAATGCCTAATTAATCCTTGTTAAATTCAAACTAACCCATTTTAATTTCAGATTCTTTTGAGTTGGTTAGTATCATTGCTGTGGAACACCATAATTTCAACCTCCACTGAAAACCATTTTAATTGCAAATTAATTTTTTTTATTAACAAACTGAGATTTTAATTTCAAATTAACTTTTTTTAAGGTCTGATAAACCCTGGTTTACTTCACGCTATCCCATTTTAATTTAGGAATTTGTTGAGTTGGTTAGTACCCTTCCTGTGGAACACATAATTTTTACCATCCCCGAAAACCATTTTAATTGCAAATTAACTTTTTTTAATTTCAAACTAACAGATTTTTATTTCAAATTATCTCATTTTAAGGTCTATTTACAATTCAAATTTTCCCATTTTAATTTTAAATTAACCCTTTTAAACTTCAAATTAACCCTTTTAAACTTCAAATTAACCCTTTTAAACTTCAAATTAACCTTTGAAATTTAAGTGTAAACCTTTTTAATTTCAAATTAACTAATTTTAATCCCAAACTAACTCATTAATTGTAAATTAATCCTGTTTTAAATGTAACTTAAATATCAACCTAACCCATTTTAATTTCAGATTCTTTTGAGTTCGTTAGTATACTTGCTGTGGAACACCATAATTTTTACCACCATTGAAAACCATTTTAATTATAAATTAACTTTTTATATCATCAAACTAATAGATTTTAATTTGAAATTAACTCTTTTAAACGTCTAATTAATCCTTTTTAACTTCACGCTATCCAATTTTAATTTCAGATTTTGTTGAGGTGATTAGTATCATTGCTGTGGAACACCATAATTTCAACCTCCACTGAAAACCATTTTAATTGCAAATTTTTTTTTAATCAACAAATCGAGATTTTAATTTCAAATTAACTCTTTCTAAGGTCTAATTAACTCTTTTTAACTTCCCGCTATCCAATTGTCATTTCAGATTTCGTTGAGTTGGTTCCCATTCTCTGGAACACCATAATTTTTACCACCCCCCAAAAACCATTTTAATTGCAAATTAACTTTTTTTTCCTTCAAACTAACAGATTTTTATTTCAAATTATCTCATTTTAAGGTCTAATTACACTTCAAACTATCTCATTTTAATTTTAAATTAACCCTTTTAAACTTCAAATTAACCGTTGAAATTTAAATGCAAACCTTTTTAGTTTCAAACAAACTCATTTTAATTTCAAATTAACCCTTTATCTTAGGCAATAAAAAAACTTAAAGAGATGAAAGATAAAACTAAAATAAAATAAAATAGGAAGGGGAAATAGAAACATTCAAAGTCCAAGATAGAAAAACGAAAAAAATCATAATTCTAACCAAAACATTACTGATGGTAATATGCAGTGCATAAGCAAACTGCCAAAACAGCACATATGAACAAATGTAAGGTAAACTACTTATTATTCAACCCAAATTTGATTCCATTTTCGTAACAATATTAGCTAGAATTTTTTTATTATGATTATGTTGAAACGATTTTTTTTTACAATGAATTTATTTATTTAATAGCGATTGCTAACTTTTTTGGGATGTCCGCAACCGGTCCAAAAAATATTTTTTAATAGTTGATGTTTAAATTCTGGCTTTTAAATTTAAATTATCACAGATTTCACTATTTTATGGAGGAGGATTTAGACTGGAAAATCTCTGTATAATAGTGAAACAAGAGATAATTTAATGTAATAGTACAGAGGGAAATTTCATTACATGCGTCTGTTAGACGAACCTTTCGAAAGTATTATTTTTTTCATTGTTCCTATTAAGAACATTTCTTTAATCTGCTAATTTTCACCGTCAAATTGGGATATTATTTTTCCAGCAATGACGGGAAAATGCATTATCTCAAATACTATTGTACTTTTTCAATCTTAAAGCATTCCAAATTGATTCTCCGAGGAAAACAATTCTTTAAGTTCAATGAAAAGTACTGTATTCATTTTCTTTTTACGTCTCCTCAACGGACCTTCGAATAATTGTATATTCCCCAATTAAATTTCTTTCACAGAAAAACCCCTCAAAACTTTACATTATTTTCTCCCCTAAACTCAAGAAGGCAGTTGCCATTCATATTTTTGCAATGATTCATCAGAAAGCCTATCAATAAGTTTATTATTAAGTAAGTTTTATTTGTCCGTCGTGTTTCGCTTTGGCAGTTAGACCGTTTAATTCTACCTTTCCCCCCCTCGAGCTTGAACATCTGCGGAAGGGTCAGGGCGTGATCCGAATATATAAAATAGAACATTAATTTATAACATCGTTAAATTGAAATTGAGGACACGGTTTTTTAAAAATAGAATTTTCCTTTTTATTGTTTTGTTCGTTAGGAGGAATTGATGAGAAGAATATTAAATTATTTCTTTGAAATGTACAATATATATTTATAGTTCAATTAATAAAGGTTTTAAGTTGAGATAAAAAAGTCAGTGTCACGAGCGGGATTCGAACCCACGACCTTCGGGTTGATACGCCGCTTGAGCCATCGTGACTTCGATCCCCTCGGGCACTAACTTCCCATCTCAACCTCACCTTTTTGCCATTTTTCAATGTCGTGTAATCGGATTGGATTCACGGCGACAAATGGCAAAAAGGAGGGAAAATTCAAACGGTGGGGTTAAGATGGGAAATTAGTGCCCGAAGGGATCGAGGTCACGAGAGCTCAAGTGGTAGATCAGCGGCGTATCAAGCCGAAGGTCGTGGGTTCGAATCCCGCTCGTGACACTGACTTTTTTATCTCAACTTAAAACCTTAATTAATTGAATGTTATTAATTGGTCAAGCGGACCACGAAAAATAGTGAATATATTTATAGTTAGCAATAATCGCATCCCAGTAGAACTTCATTTATTACGATATAACACTGTGTAAGTAAGTAAAATATATAATATATAATCAACAAACTATTCAAACAAGTTAAAAACCCACCCACAAAGAAGGGAGTATTAACATAAAAAAACTGTCGAAAATAAGATTTTTTCGGTTATTATTTAGAGGCAAGAAACGGGAATAAATAAAGAAAAATTCACACTTTGAGCCTTGAAGATGATCTCAATAAAGATCGAAACGTTGCCACGAT